ATTCCAGGCTCAATTATAATAGTAAGTCTAGGAGTACCTGAATCTTTGAATGGTTGCTACCTCTACATTATAAGGACACTGTATATTAAAAAAAACCACCCTGTCATACACTACCAGAGTATAAGATGACTAACACAAAGTGGCCCCGGAACATAATACCATTAGCATGGAATTAATCACCTTCCTGGTTCCCATGCCTGTGAAAAGTCAAAATTGTCTAGGATTTTAAGGTGAGCTGTGTCTGGCTCAACTGAATTTTAAGAATTGTGGCATTCCAGAGCTCAGGGCCATTATGGAAAAGCATTGCTTTCTGGATCCTGTGAGATGACAATCCCAAGTAGATGGGACCCAGAGCATGTCCCTCCTGCTCAACCCAATGGGATAGGTACAAATGATAGAAGTGAGGCAGGCCCTCAAATACCCTGGCACCATACCATTAGGGCTTTAGAGGTAACAGCCAGCACCTTAAATTGCACCCAGAAGCCAGTGCAGCTTGAGAAACAAAGGTATAAGGTGGAAAAAAAGTTAAGACATACAATTGCCTATGCTACTGCATTCTGAACCAACTTAAGCTTTTGGGTGTTCTTTGGGGGCAGTCCCATGTAGAATGCATTACAATGACCCATTCAGGAAGGTGACCAAAGCATGACTGAACACAGTGCCTCTGGATCCAGGAAAGGGCAAAATTGGTACACAACATGAAGGTATAGCATGTAAAGTCCCCCAGCACTTTGAGCAGGAGCCATGAATCCAAGGAAGAACCAAAGTCATTCCATCTTGCTACTGTACAGTTCAACTGAAGTTTGTTCATCCCCATCTAGATTCCCAGAGAGACCTCAAGTCCCCTCCATAATTCTGTGAATAAGCTGTAATATTTCCATATTTTTGAGAGGTTTTGATTATTTGTTGACATACCAATAAACTTGAATAGCATAGTTTTAAAGTCAAAAGCTTATAAAATGACACATTTAGCAAGTACTTAAGCTTTAAAATAAACAGGTACCACAGTATTGCCTCTTACTTGATGGAAAATAACAGGACAGGTAGTACAGTAAAGCAGTTATAAGCAAATGTCACTTTTTTATTCACTGTGCACTAGAACTCATTCCAGGTACTTTTTTTTAAAAAAAAAAAACCCCATCCATTCATTGAGTTTTAACCTAAAAACGGGACTTAAAAAAACCATTTAAATTTCCTTCAAAACTACTAGATTTAGATAACTAATTTAAATTGAATTAGTCTAATTTAATCAACGCTCTGAATCAGAGAAGTGCTACTACAAGATTTTATGCATTTCACTGCCTATTAAGATTTCTACTTTCTTGAGCAACAAGTAAAAGGCAAATGCTGTCATATTTCAAATTGGGTTCATATGAGACAATGCAAGTTAGGATTCCATACACTTGCTTGGAGATAAGTCCCAATGAACTCAATAGAATTTACCTTGAATAGATATGCTTAGTACTACCCTGTTTCTCCAACAATACTGCCTCCCCCAATAGAAAGTCCCAGCATGTTTTATAGGCATGAAATGAAATTAAGCCCCTCCCCCCAAATAAAGGCCTATATTAAAACATGCAAAATGGGGGGGAAATGGCAGGGGGGCTTGCTGTTAGGAAGTACTTTTGTTGCACACATATGGTGCTGCCTGCATTGACCCTGATACAAAGTGCCCCACCAACGCCGAGGTCAACATCCAAGCTGTCACCTCCCGAAGATTCAATGGGGGGGAATTAAGTCACCCCAAAAAGAAAAAAAAATAAGACCCTGCCTTATTATATGAGAAACATGGTATAAATTACTCCAAGGCAAGATGCCTCATTTTTTCAATACCTGCTGAAATAAATGCATGGATTATTTCTGAAGTGAAACAAGTTTTCTTCTATTATCTTAAGAAACTTCAATCTATTTACTCCATGGCAGGCTATAACCTAGTTTTATGAACACCTCAAATTCAGAAACATTTCAAGGGAGTCTTCTGAGAATATTCTGAAGTAACCTCACAGTGGCATAATGGATAGGAGAAAATGCTGTGTTCCTCTTTGATGTGAGTCTTTCAAATTCTGGTCTGTTTGATTACCGACTTATTTCATCTTTATTTTTTTAACAGTTATAATTTTTTCCTGCTTTAACCCTATTCAATGCTTTATGATTCTTTGTCCTTCGTGCTCTGCAAGCCATATAGTTCTGCTCTGAATCAGAAATGTGGCACAAATTCATGATAAGAACGATAAAAAGATTTATGACTGTGAAATAACATTCCCTCAATAGAAGAAAAGGGTTAGAGTTGAAAACTCTTTGACTCGCACACTTCAAAACCTTCGCTCCCTTTCCCGCGCGCACCTACCTCTCCACCCCCGCCCCCACGTTCTTAGGAGCCACATTTCCAGACATTAAGTACAATAATTCAATATAGTGTCTCAATAGAGGGTGCGCGACGGGCCTCGTGGCCTGACTTGCCTGTCCTCCATCTTCAGGGCCACGTCGTTTTGCACAGCTCTCTCTACGAGTTTTCCCACCCATTACCTCTTTCTCCCTTCGAGAGGCCTCACGCCCTCCAACCCACGCAATCGCTGTCTTCCACGCCACACTTCACAAGTGTCCGGCTCCTCGTTCCTCCTAGCTTAGGGCTCGGCCCAGGCAAATTTCGGACTATTCCGCGTTTTCTTTTTCCCACCCCCAACACCCGAAACACCGCTAAAACCACTGAGAACAAGGAGGCCTGAAAGGACAGAGGAGGCCCAAGCTCAGCAACACTCACGCTTTCGTGGTCCCACCGCACGTTACTGCGCTTTTCATCTGGGGCGAGGTTTCTGTCCCGGCCCATAAGCTCGTCCAAAAGCTGGGCTGCCGAAATCATGGTGCCCTCTCCGCCGCCGACTCAATTATTACCGCCTCGACTACTTCCACTCCCTTATAAAACGATGCAGCCGCGCCGCTCCGAAAGTGACAGAGACAAAATGGCGGCACCGTCGAGCCCGGGCGTTTCCCACAATGCGCTGCGCTTCCCTCGCATAATCGCCGCCTGGGGCTTGTCGTCAAGGGCTCGCGAGGCGCCTGTAAGGCAGTCCGCGTCGTGATGGAAGAGGCGTGGTCGGGACCCATTTACTTCCCCTTGTCATCTGCAGGACAAGAAGAAACCGGCAGCTATTTACCATATGATTTGATTTTCCTGAACAAGTTCTCTGTGGAGTCTTGTAACGAAGAGGGCATGCCTACCAAGAAGTCTAAATATTGGAAACAAGGTTTTAATGCTGATTACTCATATCCTTCTTTACCACCGGCCTACAGCATATTTGTGGATTTGGGATTGTTTAGAAAAATCAAATCCTCCATTTCAAAACTTTACAGAGTGTAGTTTTCGTCTTTTTGCATCGCACGTTTTTCAAATCTTCATAAAAAAAAATCCTACACTGATTCATATAAAACTTAAATAATTTGCCCCATAGGATCACCAAGGTTCAATCCAGAAGAGTTCAAAATAAGAAAAGAGGCATACAGATAATAAGCATCAAATAGTAAAGCAAAAGTTTGAAAAGAAAAAACTATGTCAGAATCTGAACACATTTATTAACTATTAACTTACATTCAGCTTTTTTAAATCATAAAACTAATGACCCTGGCTTCTAAAGTTGCAATTGTCCTGTCTTGTTCGTGATTCATTAGGTGGTATAGATTTCATTGTCTTCCATTTTTGAGGTGTTTGTCTTGTGTTTTCTCTTAAGAAAATAAATCTTGCAATTTGTTTTTTGTTTGGAACTGCTAGAAATTGTCTCAGAGAAGTACATTACAGATGCATACCATGATTGTTAGTGTAGCTGAATTCCATAGAATTTACTTTTGAGTAAATGTGGTAATAACACTTAATTTTCTGTATTAGGGAAAATACTTTTCTAGTAGGTTTTAATACCCATCCCTCTACTTCACCAAGAAATTGCTTCCTTGCCTGTCCCTGTATTGATATAGTATGGTATGAAAACTGCATCTTCACTATACAGTAAATGTTAAGATTAGTATTTCTCAAACTGTCATTACCCAAAACCACTTATCACAAAGCCATTATTTAAATTCCAGGATTGTGATTGGGTAATTGGTTATGTTATAATCCAAAGAAAAGTTTTTAAAAGGTAATTTTTATTAAGAACCTTTTCCAGAAATTATGGGAAAGAAGTCCCAAGAGTACAAGTGATTGACATGATAATTTTTAGTCTTTTGGTACAATATTAAACAGTGTTTCCCAAACCTTGGTAAGTTACCTTTGGGAAACACTGTTAAATGTTGTACCTAAAGACTAAAAATTATTATATGTCAATCACTTGTATTCCTGGGACTTCTTTCCCATAATTTCTGGAAAAGATTATTAACACACTAAAATTACCTACTTTGCTCTGGGCTTACAATGGCAGTAAAACTGGGTGATCCTTTTCTGAAAAACAAAAAACTGAATGCACAAAATGCTAACTGTGGAGATACCTATTTACAATTAGATTGGAGTATCTACGATTAACATTAAGAGATCTATATAAAGAGGGGAATTAGATAAATCCAAAGAAATACGGTGGCACTCTTTTAAACCGATTGCATTGGAAACAATCCCGAAAAGACTCACTACAATATATAGATTGGTGGAAACGTATTTTAAGGTTACCCCACTGTTTGAAAAGAGGTGGATTTCTGTTAATTTATTCAGCCTGTTTTACATTTCAGCCTGCCCGATATCAATTTAAGGCTGCTCGAAGCAGTTTGAGAGATCAAACGGAAACTGCCGAGCAATTTACTGTCTTAGTAGAAGCACAAATGCATAATTGCACAAGCTCTTTTGACAATAATATACAGGATTGATCGTGGCAAAGTGGATATATTTTAAACAATCATTCGGTTTATCAAACGGAGAATGAAACTATTTCCTTTTCTTTTCCCCCCTTTTTGTTGTGTGCCGATCGTCTGCGCGTTGGACGACTGGTGGGAACGAAATGTGCAGGTCGCTGTTGTCTCATTTAATAGAGTCCCCCAGAGAAAACGGAAGCAGAAACGACCAGATTTACTCTAAGTATGCAACTAGGGAAAATGGCCTTCAGAAGTGTCAGGCTGATTTATGAGCAGTAGATAGAAAATAATTGCCGACGCGTTTATAATTAAAAGAATAAAACCCGAGTCTTCTTTTTTGGGGACTGATGGCTTTTGTCGGCCTCTGATTGACTAGCGTGATAAAATGATCCATCATCTACAGTAGGTAAGCAGGCAATTAGTAATCCCAAAGTTGACTGAGGAGAGAATTTCATAACATGACTTCTGCAATAGAGGAAAAAGAGCTAGAAGAGAGACTGAGAGAAGCTGCTGCTTTGGGGGATATTGAGGAAGTTCGGCGATTGGTGGATTTTGGAGTGAGTGTGAACTCTCAGAATGAAATCAACGGCTGGTAAGTATTTGACCGGTAAATTACCTGACAAGTTTCCCGTTCGTGTCTTTTAAAACATCTTATGGTAATCTTGCTTTAAAAAATTCGTTTCGGTTGTTAAAAGTAAATTAATTATTTTTATTATTGCTCAACTTTGACATATTAAATATGCATAACTTGTTGAAAAAGATTAAGACTTGCTGGTTTATAAACTTGGCATAGTATATTTAAGTATTCTTTTAATTTATTCTACTTAAGTTGGTTTCTTACATTTGGTTGTAATCCTATATTACCATATAAGAATAATAGGTTGTTGTTGTAAATAGGTTGTTATTATTGTTACCATAGAGTAATACATAAAATCCAATCACATGTATTTTCATAGTTATGGGAAACTGAAGTAATTGTTAAAAATTTGAAAATATGTTTTCAGGTTTTATTGCTTTTAAAATTATTTACAAGGTTTTTTAGAAGTGCCTGATATGTTTCAGAAGATCTGGAATTACAAAACAAAGCTTAACTTTAAAAGATAAATCTGTTAGGATTTTTATTGTTAGGCTTTGTGGGTGAATCTCATATTCTGTTGATTTTAATAATTTCTTGATGCTAGAAAATGTGAAGATAATATAATCTATTTTTATATTCAGTCAGTGTGTCCTTTATATAAGTAATACATTGAATTGATTGTGATAGTTTTGTAATGTAATATGGAGAGCTAATTTCAGAATTTTCTGTGTTAGTAATATATTGCCAAATCTTTGTAGTAAGGAAGGGACAAATAAAAAGGAGATTTGTACAGTATATGTTACAAACCATTCTGAGATAATTTTTTTCACATCAAAAGTGTTGGAAAACTTTATGATAGATGAAGTGATTCTGTATAAATTGATCATGTGCCATCAAAACTTTTAGCAACTGTATCGATAGCCTTCTAGGACGATTTGTTGTTCCCAACTTGGCCCTTTAGATGTTCCAATCTGCCACTGCAATCAAGTTTATCCCACTTGCTGCTAATCATCATCTTCATTTATACCATTATTACCTAGAGTTCTTCTTAAAATGATATCCTTGCACAACAGTTCTGATATGAAATTGTTAATTTAACAAGGATAACACTGCAAATTCCTTACAAAACATAGAATTAATTAGACATTTATGGTTTTATCTAGTGTTTTATGAAAGTTGACATTAATTTTTGGTAGTCTCAAAGGAAACCAGCCCTATTGCTATGAAACAGTAGCATTATATTTATAATTTTTATGTACAGTGTTCTTAGGTTATATTTTACCATATTCTAGCTGGAAAAAAACAACAACCCAAAAGCTTAGATACTGTAATGGTAAACAAGAGGGTTCAGTTTTGATCAGAAATAATTGCATTCAAATACCTGTTTGTCTAGCAAGTTCACTTCCTGGCTGAAATTTAGCACTATTATGTTAATTTTGTTGAACTAAATATACGTGACATAGCTTTCAGAGAGACAAAGGGTACACATGGTACAGAAAGAAATGATTTTTAGGATAACAAGGTGATAATATTAGAGAAGATCATTCTGTTGCGTCTAAGCTCAGTGATTCCATTCCACCAGCTATATCAGCCAGATGTAGCATAATTACTTGTGCTCTCTGAGCTTGGTTGTATGCTTGTGGAGGTTTCATCAACCAACTAGATAACATCTGTGCAGCTGAGTGTGGGTTTGCTTTTTGTTTATACACAGTAGCTTGCTCTGCCAGTTTTGATGGGGGTGTGGTTTTCTGTCTGGTAGTTCTTTGATCAGAGTATTTTCTGCTTGCTTGTTTGTCTGGTGTTAATTTCTGCTTATGTAGGTGTTGAAGAGGTTGTGTTCCTTTATTTTTTTCTTAGCCAGTTTATTGTTTCTTTTGAATGATGTGTAAATATAGTTGATTTATTTTGGATTTAGCTTGATGTAGGATGCTCAGTTTCCTCAAAGGCTACATGTCAAAGGAAGAACAGTAGCAGAAGAAAAGTGATAGATCTGTCCTCCCATTTTTCTATGAACAGAGAAAAATACACAAGCCTGATATACCTCTTTGCCCAGTTGTATTGTATTGATCAGGCTTCCCAATATACACCATAGCCAAAGAACTTACTAAAGAGCTTAGACATCCTACAGTGGGGAACCAATATTCTATTAATTTCTCACTAGAGTGCCTCCAGAAAACCAAAGACCTAAAACAGAAGTTGAAGTTATGTTTTTAATGTCACAGCACTCTTTACACTTACAGATCCAGAATTATGGAAAATATTCATGGCAGCTCTACTACAAAACATGCCTGACCTAGCCAAATACAGTACAATTTAAATACCTAGAATCATGGATCTCACTACTTAATTTCAGTTTGATATACCAACAAATCAGAGGAATACCCATGGAATCACCACTCTCAGGACTTAGATGAGACTGTAATGCAGCATCTAGAAACTCTAGCACTCCCACACCTTCAACCAAAGGTATGAATTTGGTATGTAGACAACACCTTTGTCATATTATAAAGGAACAGCTAGAGAAGACACATGAAACAATAATATCTACAGAGGAATGAAATTCAGAAGAGAAGAAGAAAATAATACTCTGCCCTTTCTGGATATTGACATCAACAGAGGAAAAAAATGGCAAATTAGAAATGCAAGGTTATAAAATAACAACAATCCACTGTAACCAAATGCTCCATTACCAAAGTAACAGCCAAATTCCCTACAGGAGGAGCTGTGTAAGAACATTACTTAAAGTAGTACAAATGCACTGCAGCACCCCAGAGCACACACACACACACACACACACACGAAACAGACCCCAAACAAGTCTTCCAACAAAATGGATACCCGAACAACTTTATCAAAAAGTGCCTGACCACACATCCCACTATAGTGCAATTAACACCAACTATGAAAAGGATAACAGAGCAGATAGGAAGCAACCAAAATAGTATTAGAACCACAAGTTATATAAACAGGATGCAAACCTCACAGACACTAGCATTAATGATACTTGGTTGCGTAACGAAAGGTCTGCAAGCAAACAACTAAGCTCAGAGAGCACCAAGAACCTCACAATCCAATCCTGAGCCACAGGTACTTTCTTCCATTGGAATTATTTGTCTTTGGTGGAGTCTTATTGAAAGGGAGTAAAGTTGCTGGAGGGATTGTTGCATCAGGCTGACAGAAATTATAATTATCTTTAGTCCTTTTGTTTCCAAACTATTGTCTAGCTAAAGTAGCATCTGTGTCCACCAGTAAGGTACTGGTTTTCATGGAAGAACTTCTAAATCCAAATACTTTTCAAAAAAAGATTAAGGAAAGAGAATACTGAAAGATGTTTTACTTTAAAACATTTTGATATAAGACCACCATATGTATTAGGATTTAGCTCAAACATTGAGGATTTAAATTGGGAAAGGAAATTTACCCCAGTGGTATAACATTTTGTTATCCAACATAATTTGAAATTGTTGAACTGAAAATGATTGATTTACTGTGAGGAAAATATTTATTCTGAAAAAAAAATTGCATCTTGACCAATTAATGACTGAGTCTTATTGGCAAAATATAACATACACATGAAAGTTTCACATTGTGAACAGAACTAATTCTTTGATTGGTCAGGATAAAAACAAACCCTTTGGGGTGAAGGGTGCTTTTAATTTTCATTTGAGGTGGGATGAAAATAAGGAGTGTGAGCCTCAGATATTGGAAAAAAATATTATTGCTGCTTGAAGAGCTACAGCTGAAAGCATGACATCTCTAGCGGGTTTTTTTTTCTGAGAGTTGTCCAGTAGATGTCACTCTAAGGATATCTAAATTCTGACACAATTGCTTAGTGCAAGGGTCATTTTCCCTTTTTCCCTTAATAAAACTTCTCAATAAGTCTATCTTTTTCTTGTACAGGACTTGCTTGCACTGGGCCTGTAAACGAAATCATGCCCAGGTCGTGGCATACCTTCTAGAGGCTGGCGCAGATAAAGACATTCTCACTGTTAAAGAAGAAAAAGCACTCCAGTTAACATCCAAAAGGGAAATTAGGAAGATGCTGGGAGGTAAAATATAATTTGACAGGTCTAATATATTATAGAAAATTAGAATGCTAAGGAGATGGTTTGAATCTTTATTGAAACCCTAAGTGGTCTCTTGAGGTCTTTGAATTTGAATTTGAACCTTGAATTAGAATTATTAGTAATGTGGCTACAGGTAGTCCTCAACTTACAATCATTCATTTAGTGATTCTTCTAAGTTACAATGGTATGGAAAAAAACTAACTTATGATTGTTGTAGCCTCCCCACTATTATCATGGCAAATGATATGTATTTCTGATGAGGTGATGTGATCACCTTTTGTGACCACCTGATAAGCAAAATCAATGGGGAAGCCAGATTCACTTAACAGTGGTATTGTTAACTGCAGTTCAGTTAACTGTGGCAAGAAAGATTGTAAAATGGGGCAAAATTCACTTAACTGTCTTGCTTAGCAACAGAAATTTTGTGCTCAATTGTGGTCGTAAGTCAAGGACTTCCTATATTTGAACCTTTCAAGTGTTTAATAAAAGAATCAGACTGCTGAATTTTAATTTGCTGAAAATGAATCCCTGTATCACATACAAATACTGTATATTACATACTGTGTGTGCTGTATATTTAATATCTATTTTCTCAAAAGGATTTTATTATAACTTTTGTGGCTAAACATAAATAATGATATATATATTTTAAGTACATATTGTAACCAAACCTTTTTCCTCCCCTTCTGTAGTGGAAGAGGATGATCTTTTGGATGTGAAGAAAGACTTGCCAATTATCCCAAATTATTTATCTAACCCTCCTTTTCCTTATGTGTATAACTCCATGAGTAACAGCACTACCAGCACCTCAACTTCCTCTTTGAATGGAAGACTTTCTCCTCCTTTACAAAAACACAACCTGGACACTCCAGTTTCTTTGCCTCCATTACAAACATCTGGCACAGCAGTATTGCAACATGGAAAGGCTTCTGTAGGATGTGATGGAGATGTGACAAAGGCAATCACTATGGAATGCTTGGAGCCCGTTGTTCAGAATGGCCACGCTCATCAGCTCTCTGTTCCTCCGAGTAGGACACACTGTTCCCCAGCTGGATCTATACAACCAGAAACCCAGCAACCCAGTGGCCCTTACACAGGAGCTGTCCCAACATTTCAGCCCTTCTTCTTTACTGGAGCAATTCCCTTCAGTAATACGCAAGGTAACCTTTTGTAGAGAAATTGTACGGTTTCCAGACTTAAGTACAGGCATCATTATCACAATTTCACAAAACTGCACAAAAACTGTTTACTTTTGCTGCGTTTTGTCTGCTGTTGTAGTCAGGGCAAGAAGATTTTTTTAGGTAACTGTGAGTAAAATCCAGTAGAGTTTCTGGTTCCTTTTTTGTGATATGCTAAGAAAACATGCACTTCAAAATTATTCATATATTCATACATTGATCTGAATGTGCATGACAGGCAAGAGGATTGTGATGTGCACAGCTTCTAATTCTGATTTTTGTGTAAATTCAGCATGATGCTTGAAAGAGCTTAGAAAGTTTTTTTTTAAAAAAGCTTATGTATATGAGCTCTGTCTGGATGATTGGGAACCCGCTGAACAGGCCAACAAGCGAGCAGAATCTGTCATTCAGATTTTTTTTCAGGAGTTATATTAAATGTACATGGGAATCGACCACAGGCTCTACCCTGAACATCTGTGATATTACTAGCTCAAGTGTTGTGTACAGTATGTGTGTCCACAGAGCGATACGGCTACTTTAGATTTACAAAAACTTGCATCTGAGTCTCTTTTGTTAGATAAGCAGCTCTGTGGGAAACATTTAAAAGAAATGCTTTATAACATGTACGTATTAATAAGTTATTAATAATAACTTCAAAGAAGATCTATATTGTTTTTGCAAGGCTAGCCTGGTTGCTTTAAAATGTATATGTGGTTGGCCCACAGGAAACCAGCTGCTTAGTGTTGCGAAATACTTTTTTCAGACACTGCCTAACACTTTAATCTTCTTTTAGCATGAGATGTCACTCTTCAGCTACTTATCAGAATTGGTTCTGGACCTCCCAAATTAATCAGATGGGGTGCTATTTTCTGTATTTTATTGCTTTTGTCATTTCAACGCATGCCCCTGGGTTGTGGTAAAAAAAATAGCTTTAAAAAATAGCAGCAATGATTTTTACTGGAAGTATTCCTGATAGAAAGTAGAAATAAATTTGGTTATATTTATTTAAAGTTTATTTTTTCATTTACCTCCTACAAAAGGTCATATAGCAGCTATTGTGAGAAGCTCCCTTCATTTTATTCCTATAATAGCTATTCTGGGAGGCAGTTTGGACTGAGAGGGAGTGATTAACCTCCAAATCATCCACTGAATATATACATCATTAAGGGTGATTTGAACCTGGGCCTTCCCAGTCACAATCAGATTCTTTAATTGCTGCACCACAGCAATTTATTTATGAATTGGATCCCATAGCAAAAAGGAAAAAGGAAATCCAGCTCATTGCTTTTAAATATTCTTAATCTAAAATCTGCTCCCCACAAGTAACCAGGGACAAAGGAGGCTTTTTATTGTTCTACAAGATTTACAATAATCAAAATATTTAAAAATGTAAATATTAAAATCCAGATTTCTTTACAAAAATTATACAAGCAATACAATCTCGTAAAAAACTAATCCTGAAAAAAAGTTTGAGCTAAAATTAAAACATCTTTGGGAAGCCCATTTTAAAATCTGAGCATGAATGGGACATGATTTTTGTTATTGAAGATAACCACTTGTACTATTGTGCATTTGATAGATAAGATGTTGGTATAAAGTGTTGTTCATTTAAGATAGCTATCACCCTCTGTAGGAACTCAATTTTCAGGGCTTTTAATAAAATATTTATGGACAACTTCTAAATTGAAGACTGTCAAGGTGCCAATGATTCATTGCAGTGATTTTCCATTTCTCCAAAGAGCAAAGCTCACAAGTCTTTATTACTGTTGTTTAAATTTGAGTCACATTTCTGAAGTGCAACTTTTTTCTACTAAGAACAGAGTTAGACTAGCAATCAAAGGAATGATTCACCCCCACAGTAATGCTTGTCAAGCACTATCCCTGTAAGAGCCACATTTCCTTCTGTGAGTTGTGGGCTCCCATTGCTCCCACGATAAGCCATCAAATGTTAATCCATAAATTGGGCCAACTGAAAGAATCACATTTACTTTTACAACATGCTCCATGCTTGCTTTGACACCCTGGATGTTATTACAGGTAGTCCTCGACTTAATGACCACAATTGAGCCCAAAATTTATATTGTTAAATGAGACCTATGTTAAGTGAGTTTTGCCCCATTTTACAACTTTGTTTTAACCACATTAGTTAAGTGAATCATTGTAGTTGTTGGGCTAGTAATGCAGTTGTTAAGTGAATTTGGCTTCCCCATTGACTTTGCTTGTCAGAAGGTCTCTAAAGCTGTTCACATGACCCCAGGACACTGCAACCGTCATAAATATGAGTCATTTGCCAAGCATCCAAATTTTGATCAGATGACCAAGGGGATGCTGCAATGGTTGTAAGTGTGAAAAATGGTCATAAGTTGCTTTTTTTCAGTGCTGTTGTAACAGTCACTAAATGAATTGTTGTAAGTCGAGGATTATCTGTACTACAAATATAACCCCTGCTGCCCCCTCCCCCCCCCCAAGTTGGAGAAACTGATTTTTTTCATGTGTTGTTGATCCACAACATAACCCAAGAGTGAGGGATGGAGGGCTCATTAGAGAGTCACAAATTCCCACTGCCTGCTCTCTGCACTGCATGTCTTTGTCAGAATAAATAGGGCAAATTGTTAAAATGGAACCAAGATTGAGAAAACTGTTACATGTCTACTAACCACAGTCTTTCTATTTTAATTAGAACTGGTACTTAAGGTCAGAATTCAAAATCGTACCTTGAAGGAGAATGACTTCATTGAAATTGAATTGGATCGACAAGAATTGACATACAAAGAATTGCTTAGGGTGAGCTGCTGTGAATTGGGTGTTAACCCCGAATATGTGGAGAAGATCAGAAAGCTTCCAAATACAGTATTAAGAAAGGTACTTTGTTTTATTTCAGGTTATTTATGAGTGGCTTGGAGAATTTATGACTTTCTAAGTCAAATGCAGTTCAGTCCAGCAGATATGTATTTTAGTGTTGCACAACAGCCTTGCCTTTTGAAATCTCAAGGGGATTGCACAAACCTAGAAGCATTTGGCTAGTCTAACCAAGATGTCTAGCCGGAGGGCTGCATTTCACTTAGTGAATCTCATTTGGCAGCCTTTGTTATATATTTAAGGGCTACATTGAATATATATGTGAGTCTGAATGTATGAATCTCTACAGCATTTTGATTCCCCCTTTATGTGAGGGGAAACCTCTCTGAATTTTTTATTTATTCAGATCTTTTCAATAATCATGTACAAGTAGTCCTCTGCTTATGACCACAGTTGGGCCCAGAATTTGATTGTTGAGTGAAGAAGTTGTTAAATAGGATGCTACATCAGGGGTCGCCAACCTTTTGGAATTCAGGGACCACCAAACTCATAATTTTAGCTCCCAGGTTCTGTGGGCCTGGCCTAATTTGTGGGTGTGGCTTGATGGTCATGTGACTGGCTGGGCATGGCTTGTATGTAAATATTATAAATATTTATATAAATATTGAATTTTTTATTAAAAAAAGAGCAACTTTTACCCAAAATCAGGCAAAGCAGGCAGGCAGATTGAGTTGCTCACAGAATCACAGATTCATTGAGAGAGATCTCTATCTGCCATTGGCTAGCTCTGTCTGTCACATAAAATTGCTATCAAGCAAACTCACAAAATTAACTCACAACACACCATGTATGTAAATATTGAATTATTTATTAAAAAAGAGCAACTTTTACCCAAAATCAGGCAAAGCAGGCAGATTGAGTTGCTCACAGAATCATTCAGTGATCTATCTATCTGCCATTGGCTAGCTCAGTCTCTCAAATTTGCTTGCCGTGAGTCTGCACTGAACTTGCTTGCAAGCAAACCTTCAGTCCTAAGGGAGGTTCGGCTGTGCTTAAAAGCAGAGCCAAAGATCTAAAGACTAGCTAGAAAGCAAGAAATCCAACCATTTTCTGCTTCCTAGCTAATCTAAATCTCCCAGCACAGCAGAACAGATGATGGTCGGAAAAAAGAAAAATAGCAATTTTACCAGGCAAATTTGCCTGGTAAGGAGTAAGTGGGGAGGGTTCCCGTGAGCCATGTGGGCGGCATAGCCTTGTGTTTCTGCGTAGCCTGGATTAATTGCTTTGCGGGGGTGCTCTGGGAGTGAGATTTCTCTGCAGCCCACCAACATTTTCTCACGGCCCACCGGTTGGCGACCGCTGTGCTACATTGATCACTTTGCTCAGCAACCACAATCCTGACTCTCCCAGTTGTGGTCATTAAGTGACTATGCAGGTTGTTAAACAGAGTGCGCAGGAGACAGCCCTGGCCTCCCTGGTATGGTGGGAGTGGGGAGAGGGCCTAGGCTTCCAATTACACCTGATCATGAGAAGTTCATGTGGGTAAAGATGATGGCATTTGTTCAGATGCCAGCAACGTTAGTCTTCTGAGCTTTTCAAACTATAGCGTTTGCTACCATTTTCCCTTCTGGTAAATGCCAGAATTCTGAGCCTTCAGAGTAAAACTCACTCACTAGCATTTGTGTCAGATTTAAGATCCATTCTTTCATCGGGATGAAGGCCAACAAAATTGTTGTCTGCTGGAGGAATGGACCTCAAATCTGACAAAAATGCTGGTGAAACACCATTGTTCTGGAATGCTCAGAATGCTGGTATTTGCTAGTACTTTGGTGAATGCTCTCATCTCTGCACCTCCAGAAGGGAAAACGCTAGTGAAGCCCAGCATTCTGAGTTTTCCAGAATAATGGCAGTAGCTAGCATTTTCATTTGAGCTCTGTTCCTCCAGTGTGTGAGAAGATATCCCCTCCCTGCACAGAGGAGTGTGTTAATCCTTTGACATGCTGGGGGAATGAAGCTTAAATCCACCGTTCCCTGTACTCACAACCTTCCCTGTCGGTGTCCCCATTGTTTTCCTGGGGAAGCTGGCAGAGAAGATTGCAAATGACAATCACATGATTGCAGGCCACTTGACAACTGGTTCTCAATGTGAATAGGTTGCTGAACACGCAAAATGTGGTTTTGTGACGAAAAGGAGAGGCTGGCGTGACATTTTGCAATGGCTAGAAGTGTTACGAGCTGTGAAACACCCATTCTGAATGCTTTTATGGGTGGCAAACTACCTGTTCTGAAGCTATGACTGTGAATGGTCATTAAACAACTGGTCAAGAACTACTTGTATAGGACTGCTCTATTGGTCTTTTTGTCAGTCTCACAATAGATAATACTGTACTTTGTCATTACAAGGAACCTAAAGTTGAATTTTATACATAGTTGCTGCCATGGGAAACAAATCAGTATGTCAAAGATTGCCTAATTAATTGTATATAGTGAGGCATTTTCTTCACAAAAATGGATTAATTAAATGCCAATGTAATGGATTACTCATAAACCTAATTTCTTCTTTAGTGATCACTGGTCACTTTGGAGTTCATAATGTTTGGTGATAATGCCAAATGTAGGTTTCCAAGACTGCGATATACATGGAACCTCAGTTTATAAAGTCTAGAAATAGAATTCTTCCATAAAAGTGTCTAAAAACTGAAAGATTGGGATGCAGTCTCAGTAAACATTCCTATTTTATGAGTGGATTTGTTAGGCATCAATATTACATTCTTTTGCTCTGCTGAAGCTCTGTTTTATTTCCAATGATCTCTGTAAGGGATCTGTGGATATGCAAAATGCTGCAACCTGGGGGCATGAAAATTCTGAGCAATTATTCCCAGAGAAATAGACTGACATGTGCAAATGCTGCAAAATTAGCAGACATGGAAGAAATATTGTTATATGAATAATAAATAATGTTTGTTCTGTGTTGCCCAGTACTCAGTGCAGACTAACTGTACACTATGCACCCACCTTTTAAAGAAATGTTGTCCTTCAGCAGTTTCTGGAGTTATTGTACAGGGGGCTCTTTTTAGATTTTGCAAACATCTACTTCCAGATAAAGCTCATAACAACACATCAAATAACACATCAAAGAGCTGAAACTGAGCCCCAAAGGCATTACGATAACTAGTGCATATCTGCATAACTATCCTTTTTTGGTTACGTTCTAATGGTTTACTACCAACCTCTTGTTTCAGTTATTTCTTTCAAACTCCTTCTAAACATACTCTATACCATAGGTTAAGTTTGCCATTTGTTTGACTCCAAATTACGTTCACTGAAAACTTCACAGAAATTCATTTAATCACAACTTTTTCAGATTGATTTCAGGAGGATCTAATTCCTAAAATTGCTAAAAACCTCATCTTTGTATTTATAAAGAACCTAAAATTTATCACAAAAAACTCATATATCCTAAAAATTGGAAAAATGTAGTTCACAAGCTTGTAAAAAGAGAAGGGAACAGAAAGAAGAAATCAACAAGCAATGTTTTTTTAATTATTTATTTAATTATTTATTTTAAATGTTTATTTAATATTCTAGATCAGTAGTTACCTGTGATCCATTGAGCTTTGGCGTGTGTGTGCAATGTTGTCACAGGAGAAGGCCTGAAGAAATGTGTGATTTAAATCTCAAGTCTTAAGGGTCCGTGGCCATAGTCCCTGGCCACAAAAGGTATTTTAAGGGGGTTGTTGAAGAAAAGATTGAGAACCACTGTTCTAGATTCTGCACTCCAACAAGATTTCCAGACATTTATAATTTTCCAATTAAAATAAAATTTAAACCTCTTTAATTATACACAGAAGTATAATTAAAAATCTAAGAACAACTGTAGAAAAAGAGTTTAAAGAGGCGTAAAATGTCTGTTCCAGCCAAGCAGATCTTGAAAAAAATGGCCAAATGTTTTGGTACTATGTGTCTTGTGATTCTAGCATTGCTTCTAATTTTCTCTGTTTATTTCTTTAAGGACAAAGACATCTCGAGACTTCAAGATTTCCAAGAACTGGAGCTTGTTCTAATGATGAGTGATAATGACTTTATGTTTAAAAATGCAGCACCAGCACTGACTGAAAGGCCTTGTTATAACAAGAAAGCATCAAAACTAACTTACTAAATATTGAATTAAAAGTTTCATTCTAGTATTTAACTATTAAACCTAGAATACTCTAAGGGCTATATCATTAACTTTTACTGTACCGTGGAAAGTATAATTAAATGACTGAGCATATATCTTTGAAAACAAGCTCAGTTGAAAGAGTTGGACTTGTTTTTAATTTAATATGCTAAAGGTGATGATATACCTGCATTTCATAAAGTGACAAGTGGAATACCCTAACCCATGTATGATCTTTCTTAAAAGGAAATTGTTTCTTCTTGGAGTACAACAAAATAAAAGTTCTCAGGGAAATAAATTAATGGTTCTAATAATTGCTACTAGTAAAAAGGAGGCACAATACATTGAAAAAACTGAATATGTAATGCATTTAATGCTGGGAGCAGGATATTTCAAATGCAGTTGTCTAGATCTGAATATGCAACTTGAGAAAGAGATAATTTTACAGGAAGGAGCAAGGAGAGATGTGGACTTTTGGACATTGGCCTATTGAATCGAGATTAATTTTAAAAGTAATCACATTAATGCACATTTACATATTTTTGGCAGTAGCGCCTTGCAAATATATAAGTGAAGTGTGTTTTGCCATTGCTGATGGCAAGAGGAGCAGCTAATTTTGTGATCCCAGAGAAAAACCTATCTTGCTACCTTTACTGATCCTGCCTGGGATAAAATATCGAAGAGCTTCTGTAAGAGACAGAGGCCGTGCAATTTAGAAATTAAAGAAATGGTTCCTTCCACTTGTTGATATGCTGCAGCAAGGGATGCTGCCAATGTCCTTAGGAAAATTTGTATTTCAGAAAGAAGCACATTGACTGTTTTAACAAGCTAGCCAAGTAGCTAAATCAGTTGTGATTTCTTTGAAATGGTGCTCAGATAAAATATTAGAAAATATACTTTACTGTATTAATCCAGACTTTAAATAGTGTTAACCAAAACTCTGTGTATGTGAGTATAATCCAGAACTGCTTAGCAGTAAATAATGCAAAATGATTGGTACTGTTTGGACTAATTTTCTTTCCTTGCTTTTCTTTTGTCTATTTAACCTTGAGAGTTTTCCTGAGGAGCAATCGAGATGTCTACACTGTAGCCTGGTTCTACAGATGAAATTAGCACAAGTTCCTTCTGCCTCTAATTTTTTATCCTATTTATCCTCAGGTTCTTTACAACTGTTATGCATTTAAAGGAAAGCTTGTAGCATCTTAGATAGCAGAAATATTTTAATATCAAGATAAGTAATACATCTTGCAATTTCTATGCATTTTTGACAGTGTTGCTTGCATTCCATATAAGCATGTCTAAACTTTTTATTATCTTGCTAGTTCAGGTTCTGTAATAATACTCTGATGCCAAATCCCAGGAAAAAAACAGTATGCAAAAGCATGGGACGCAATTAAGAATAAATTATTAACCTAGTTTTAGGATTCTGTGTAGCTGGTGGATTGATATCAGTTCATTTATTTGTAGTGCAATGACTACATGCTATAGATGGACTATATAGGTACCTGGGCAGTTAGGATTTAACAGGTGTATTTAGTTGCTAATTTCAGTTGCCAGATGTCAGTGTTCCTTGTCTACAGATTCAGGAATGTGTGCACAAGTGCTGTGAACTTAAATTTAAGCCGTTGGTGTCTGGGGGGAAAAAAAAGACTGACCCAGTACTAGAGAATTAAGACAAACCTGAAAGAAGTAACCTTTATAATGTTTTTTAAAATAACCAGTGAAAAAAACAAATTCCAGAATTGCCAATCTAAGCCTTGAGTTGTTATATTTGCCAGGCTTTAAATAATGATTTAGAAAACTGATTCAATCCATGTCTTCACAGTAGGAAGAGTTACACTGTATGCTCTGCAGGATTAAATTTGGTGGTCTGCTTGTGCTCAGTTTTCCAGTTTCTATCCTCTCCATGCAACCTTAAAAAATGAGTGGGGAGGAAGAGTGCCTTGAAGGTAGAGATCCTTATGTCTATTCCCCTCCCCCCATTGATTTTGGGGAAGTAGCAGAAAGAACTTTGAGGATCTAGGTTTTTTTTCTCCATTTAGTGGAAAGCTGGATGGTCTAACTTTAGCCCTCTGTTCTGTGGTCATTGCTTTAGTTTATCTGTCTGAATTTAACTTGCCTGGTAAAACTGATTGAATATATTTTATAGAATCAGCTCTTGGAACCTACAGCGTCAAAATGTGTTCTGTGTCACTTTTCCCCTTTTGGATCTTATAAGGACCAGTCTGCAAAAGGAGAGCTCTTCTGGGTCTTTAGGTGCAAACAGCTCATTTATATATAGGTGCTCCATCACTGGAGGTTTCCAAAATTAGACTGGACAACCATTTGACCAGGATGGTATAAGGGCTCCTGCCTTGAACAGGGGGTTGGACTACAAGGACATAAGAAGTCCCTTCCAGCCTTATGATTCTATGCTCTATGTTATATGTTTGCCACTTCATTATGAAGAGGCTCTTTATTATTCAATTGGGGAGAAATGTAGCTTGTCTAGCAGAAGCTTAGGAGTTTTCCCTATCCTGGGCAGTTTTTTTAGAGAAGTTAAATTCCGTTCTTGATTTTTGCATTTTCATCTCTTCCTCTCATGCTTTTGACAAACATATTGATGAAAAACTATCATTTACCTTCAGTGACCCATATTGATCACGTGTTCTGTTTACGATTGGGCCTAAAAGAATAGGTAATCCATAGACTGAGTGTTCCTTTCTCCATCACTGAGATCACTTTGCCTTCTTAGCAAACTGATCACACTTCGGTGACAAAGATTTTTCTTCCTTCAAACTATGGATAAGGAAACCCATTTTCATTTTTAAGACTGCCCCCAAACCCTTAAAAAGCTGGACAAAATTGTAAGTGGGGGATGCAGAATTTTCAGCTTTCCCAAATATTGCCCATCTCAAAATAGAACTTCAAAATGGCACAAATCACAGTAATTGATAACATTTGATGATTAATTTTATCTTTAAAATCTGAGGGGGTCTTTTATGAAGGCAGCTTAAAGTTGATGAACAATCAGTTTATATAAACAATTTTTTTATTTTAAATATTAAACTCCCTATGAGCCTGCTCTAATTATGGAAGGGTAGGCTAGAAATTTTTAAAGAGAAAGTAGGAAGATATGGTTTGGTTAGATTAAAGGTAATTAATATTTGGAATGCCAGTTTGATATATATTAAAATGGGAAAAAACATAAAAGTAAAGCATTTTTTTAACTAAAATGTTTAATAGCTAAACCAGTGGTGGTTAACCTTTTTGGCACCGAGTGCCAAAACGAGAGTGTGCGCGCACTGAAAAGGCACTGCCGAAACGTGTGTGCCGGAAACCGGAAGAGCAGCTCCCGGCATGCACATGCCACATGGTCTTCAGGCTTCTAATGTGCATGCGCGCACAAAGACCAGCTGGCTGGCCAGTTTCTAATGCGCGTGCCGGCCAGCTGGTCTTCATGCACATATGTGTGGTGGCCAGCTGGTCTTTGCGCACGTATGCGCATTGGAAACAGGAAGACTAAGTGACTGGTGCACATGCGCGCGCCGGGAAATGCTCTCCCAGTTTCTGGTGCTCCCGCACATACAAAGACCAGCCGGCTAGTACGCATATGCTTGCCAGAACCCAGAAGAGCAACAGGCAATGACTGGCATGCCCAGAGAGATGGCTCTGCATGCCACTTCCAGCACACGTGGCATAGGTTCGCCATCATGGAACTAAGCCATTCTCCGTTAGACTGCTGCGAGAGTCTAGTGTGGGCTGTGCTCATCTCTTCATCACGTGACTGAGTCTGCCAAATCATTGATCTTGCCACCGTTGCTATGGATACCCCAGATTTCTACTCAGTCTGCTGGTTGTGGCAGTCGTGTTCTGAGAAGGCTCTCTCAGAGAGAAAGCTAAAAAATTCAGAAAAAAAAAATCAAATTCAAAGCAAAAATAAGTGCGATCAGCTTGGAGCAAACAGCTGATCGGCGCGAAGATTGCAGCGGCTCCTGAGGCGGGAAGGGCCTTTCCCCCTACAAGGTGATTCCAGGGCCAGGAATCAATCTTGGCGTTGAGGACACTAGCGGATTAAGACCAGAGACTGAAAGTCGTTGCGGGGAGCAAGTGGAGCGGCGATAGGGTTACATTGCCCAAATCGGCTAATTCCCCTTTTTACACGCCGCCTGAAGCTCCCTCTGCACAGCTGACTGGCTTTAATTGCAGGGTGGGAGAGATCAATCCCCTACTTGATTCTGAGGCCTCAGGGCTTTCTAGCCCGCATGGCCTAGGCATAAGTCACTGCTTGGCAGTAACTCCCAATTAAGGGATGGGAAGCAGGCAGATAAGAGCCCCTGTCCCCTGCAATGGCACAAGCCTTTTCAAGGCACAGCAGGAGATCCAGAAAGCATTCCTCAGCCCAAGGTGCAGCAGCAAGAATTAAGGCCAAAGCTGTTGCCACCAAAACATAAAATAAAATCCAAGGCTGAGGAATGAGTGGAAAAAAGAAGACACGAGGCCCTTGAAAGGCAGTTTGCAAAGGGCCAGGAGCAAAGGGAGGGGTGGGCCAACTGTCACCCCATCCAACTGTTGCTGGGGGAAGATTTGGAAACTCTTAATATTCAAATCCCACAGTCTTGGTCACCAGAGGGAGCTGCTGAGTTGAATCCTGCTCTTCCTCAAGATTTAAGCAGAAAGGGCCCCAGCAACAGGCCTGTTGCTTGGGCTGCTCCTGCCCTCCCTCAATTTAGTCAGCCTTTTAGCCAACCTCTTGACTATGGCTCAATCCACTTTTACCCCCACAGCTGCAGGTCTTCGCCCAGGGGGCCCTTCGGGGACTGACATGTCAGATTCTATGAGAGAGGTGGTGTCTTCAGCCATCAGGCAGGGTATTGCAGATGGGATCCACCATCTGCTAGGCCCTTCTGGGATTTCCCCTGGGTTGTGGAGGGGCCATCCTAGCCAGATTCCCCCTTGTGCACCAACCACCAGTGTTAGGCCTGAATCTTCCAGTATTGCCAGGCAGGCCCCTACCCTAACCCCACAATGAATGGGTGGGCTATCAGGAGACTGCCTCTATGGAAGATTCGGAACACAGTCACTTCCCTGCCTCGGGGTGGAGGAAGGTGAGGTAAGGGGCTCAAACTCCTCAGAAGATGAGGATGTTTCATCAGAAATACTGTCCTTTCAGGTTTATTTGACCATTCCCTATTCAAGTCCTTGTTACACAAGGCCAAGAATACGGCCTAGTTAGCCCCAGATGAGACCTCAAGGACAGCCAAGCCCTCAAGGACAGCCAAAAGGGAATTCTCTATTCTCCCAACCCACTGTCTAGGCAGAGGTCTTACCATCACCTAGATTGTTCCTGGATGTAGTGCTGAAGCAATGTGCTTCTCCAGGCACTGGCCTTCACCCATCCTCCTCTGATAAAAAATTCTATAATGTGGGTCCGAATTTGGCCAAGGCCTTGCAGCTCCCATCAGTGGACCCCCCAGTAGTCAGTTCCGCATCTTCATCAAGGACCCCCACTGAACCAGAGGATGCATTGAAAGAGGAGGATAAGCGCTCTGAACACATCTTGCAAAGGTCTCACCTGGTTTTGGCCTGGGTGGTCCGTGCCTCTACAGCGGCATCTTTTTTCATGCGGGCATCACTCTGCTGGCTAAAACAATTGCAGGAGCAAGTGCCGGCGTTAGACATCAGGGCGCATCAGGATCTGAGCAAAATTATAGCTGACACGGAGTTCACCACTGATGCTACTCTTGATTCGGCTAAATTTGCCACCAAGGCCATGGCTATCTCTGTCACTGTGCAGAGGCTTTTATGGCTCTTCAACTGGCAGATGTACGCCCGGAGGTAGTGGAATGTGGCTTCAGCCCTGGCTGTTTGGAGATGCTTTGAAACCCTATTTAGTGGAGACCTGGGACAAACGGAAGATTCTTCCCTCGACATTCAAGAGATCTGAAATGAGACCAGCACCGTATTCCGGCAAGACTTGGGTTCCAGGTTTGCATGCTCCCAGAGGTTCTTCCCAGCTCAGCCAGATCAACACCAGGAACGGTCACGTAGACAATTTCCTCCCTCACAGAGCAGGCGGCCCTTTCAAGGGGGAGGAAGTCATTTGGTTTGGCGTTCCAAGTAACTGCATTTCTGACTCCCCCACCAGTGGCCATTTGTTTCTCTTTGCCACTCAATGGGGGACACAACATCTGATGCCTGAGTTCTGTAAACTGTGAGGTCAGGACTTCGCCTCGAGTTCCTTTCCTCCCCTCTGAGGTTTTTTGTTAGCTGCCCCATTTCTAGGGACAATGCTAGAAGGGTCCTCATGGAACCTGCCATTAAGCACTTAGTGGATATTCATGCTATACAGGTGGTTTCGGAAGATTAGCAAGGGCAGGGATTCTATTCCTGATT